ATGGAGAAGTGACTTCTTCCTTGATAGTTACTGCAGATGAATTGCCTTGATTTTATTTATTATTTTTTGTGTCGTTGACATTCAGCTTTCTCCCAGTACTTCACCGGAACATTCGGATGGGTGATGTGAGTTTCAGCTCAGGCGCGTTCGGCAGTATATTAACCAGCATTCATGGATTAATTTCCCAGCGTGCCCAGTCCCCCAGAGACACCACCAGATACCTTTTTTTTGTTTTCTTTTTTTGAAATTTAGGATTGTATGATGTGTATGAGTAAGTATAAAACCAATAAAATCACAAAGTTTATTTTAAATTTACACAATGTTTTGTGTTTTCCTTTAAACGTGTGTATAATTACCCAGACCATCTAAATGGAGTGGCGGGATTACACTATGCTTGTTCATTTCATGGACTTTTATTCATATGTATGGAAAACCAGAAGACAACGCAAGCTCACGCCATGTTCCAAAGTTTGTTTGGTGAACTCTGTCCTGTGAACTCATGTGACCTCAAATTGTGTGACCTCAGCTGAATTAAAACACACACATTTAGTCAGCGCTAATAGCCTAGTGGTGCTGTGCACCGACATATAACACAGAAGTGCTCACAGCGACCTGAGTTCGATCCCAGCTTGAAGTGCTTTGCCAATCATTTCCCTCTCTCTTCTCCTAATGTATTCCCCTCTGAATCTCTACTGTTTTATATTATAATAAGGGTGAAAAACCCCTAAAAATAAATTCATTTAATTATAATTTAATAATTTAAAAAAACACTTTTTCAGTGTTGTAGAAAAGATAAGTAACATATTTTTACAATTTAGATTATGCTTTCAATTATATTGTTTTACATTTTATATTGTTTTACATTTTAAATGTAATTTAATTCTTGAAACATTGTGCAAAGCATAATACAAGTCCCAGGTTCCCCCACAATGTGTATTATCTCAAAACTGCTCATGTATCTATATTATACTATACTACAAATACCACTTCTGTGTGGAAGTAAAACTTTTTGTGTGTCTCTTTAAATGCAAATGAGCTGCCCTTCCTTCCTTCTTTTTTTTTTTTAACCAATGTCTTTACCAGTGATGCCTTTCTACTTTACAATTATGGTACACTTTTTTTCCCCCATAGACTTTCATTCATATCTAAGGAAAGCCAGAATGCAAGCTCATGCTATGTTCCAAAGTTTTGTTTTTTGAACACTGTCCTGCGAATTAGTTTCACTTGAAGAGCAGTAGAATACGCACATTTTTGCAGTGTTGTAGTGAAGATGTGTAGCTTATTTTTACAATTTAGATTATACTTTAAATAATGCTTGACACTTTGTGCAAAGCGTAATACAAGTCTCAGGTTCCCCCACAATGTGTATTTTTAGCCCCAAATACTTCATGTATCTTTATTATAATATACTACAAATACCATTTCTGATGTGTGTTTGTGTCTTATTAAATGCAAAAAAGCTGCTGTTCCCTCCACCCTTTCCTAATACAGGCAAAGCCTTTACCACTTGCCAGTTTACAATCCTGGTATATGCCTTGTTTTGTTTGTAAAGCTTTGTGTGAGGCTCAAATTTTAAAACAAATTTACATAAAGTTGGTCGTATCTGTTAATATAAACATTTGGGAAAGAAATTGTATGAGTATCAGACAGTGTATCTCGGTTCTTGATTGGCATTGATGGTTCCTGAAAGAACTAAAACATTCCAAAAAGCCCTTCAACTCCACCAATGGTTCTTTGTTGTAAAAGTGTTCTGAATATATATATATATATGTATATATGTGTATATGTGTGTGTGTATATATATATATATATATATATATATATATATATATATATGTATATGTATATATGTGTGTGTATATATATATATGTATATATGTGTATATGTGTGTGTATATATATATGTATATATGTGTGTGTGTGTGTGTGTATATATATATATATATATGTATATATGTGTGTATATATATATATATATATATATATATATATATATATGTGTGTGTGTATATATATATGTATATATGTGTATATGTGTGTGTATATATATATATATATATATATATTTTTTTTTTTTTAAGTGTTCTTCAAATAAAAAAAAAGGTTCCTTTAAGAACTGTACACTTAAATAGTTCTTTCTCTCTTTTCACTCACTACAAAGAAAATTATTGAAAAGGTGGGCCACACAGTGACCTCACAGCAAGAAGGTTGCTGGTTCGAATCCCAGCTGGGCCAGTTGGCATTTCTGTGTTTAGTTTGCATGTTCTCCCCATGTTTTTGTGGGTTTCCGCCGGGTGGACCGGTTTTTCCCACAGTCCAAAGACATGCACCATAATTGAATAAGCTAAAATTGGCCGTAGTGTATTTGTGTATAGGTATTTCCCAGTACTGGGATGCAACTAAAAGGGCATTCGCTGGAAAAGTAAAAAGCGTAGTAGGACTGCTTCAAAATCTATCTGATGAACTTTGCCTATACATGTGAACTGGAAATGTTCTAGAATTGATGCCATATGGGAACCGTTATTTTCAAGAGTGTAGTGCATCTGGTTCATTGAAAATAAATTATGAATATGACTGTTGTATCTTTGCGTAAACACTCAGGTTACTGTATATACTGTGTGGGAAACTAACAAACGTGACTTCAGGAAATGGTGTAGAGATAATGACTGATCATCACCCACTTATTTGTCTGTAGCTGAACTTCTCTTAACCCGCCTCTGACATTTCTGCTGGGACAATGTCCTTTCGTGCTGTGCCATTACATGAGTAAACTAGAACACTGAAGATGTCGTGTGTGTATGAATCACCCTGAATTAGTGACATTAATGAATTTTATCTGGTTTCACTTCCTCTGTGGCTGGTTATAGTTTGTCTGCTCTTGTGAAAAACGGGCCGCACAAGTGAGGAACATTTTAAATGAAACATGTTTACAGCTATTTGTAGATAATTTGTTAGCCTTACCTATGGACAAGGCTATGGAAGCTAAAAAAAATCCAGATTTTACATTTACATTCCCTTTTCATATTTTCATGTATGAGAGATACTTCTAGATTAAGCTGTGGTTCATATCTCACGAATGAGCCCATTGTATGTATACTTCGGTGAATTTATCCTTGAATGACCGTAATAATCAGCTGTCTGGCAGATTTTGCAAAGCTACGCCAGCAGATCTGACAGAAATTCCCCCGATGCTCCTCCCTCGATGTGCCGTCAGCGTAATTTCCGGATGCGTGAAGAGCGAAGACGTTTGAACAGCCACTCTGCATGTTTTCCGCACTGACGTCGCATCGAGTCACGCGGTACATTCCTCCAGTCGAGTGTTACCAGTCAGTATGGATCAAAATAATAAAATATATAAACATTGAGTCCACTTGAAACATTTGATTTACGATTTATAGTTATGTTTAAGTAAAATGCAACTGGTTTCATTCTGTACTTTAAATTGATATTATTTTTCTTTAAAATTAAAAATAAAGTAATAGAAAAGAAGCCATTCGCTATTATAACTACAGCATTTGGGGGATTTATTTATTTATTATTTCTAATTCAGATAAAGGCTATTATTTGTACATTTTTATGGTAAATTTATCTTTTAAAAGTTTGTACATGTCTAGTGTAAAAAAATAAATAAAAAGGAGAGAATTTGTATTATTTTTGTGCACAATTTTGTAAATGTTGCACATCTGTTATACATATGAAGAAAAATGGCATGTTTCTTCATTATTTTCTATATTAACAATGATAGAATCTTTACAAATGCAAATAAATTATATTTTTGCTTTTATAAATGCTTTTATAGCATGACCAAACACAAACCTGTAAAGAAATCAATAATGAATTTTTTAATGTCAATAAACATTTTTATATAGTTTTATATAGTTTATGTTAAAGATTAAAACAATTACAGAGTATTGCATCATTATTGTTTTGTTCAACTATTGTACAATTTAGGCCATTAGACTCATTATTTTTGTGCAAAATTATGTAAATATTGCACATTTGTTATTCATATGATCCAAAAAACAGTATGTTTCTCCATTATTTCTATATTAACAATGACAGAATCTTTGTAAATGCAAATACATTTTTTTTTGCTTTTATAAATGCTTTTATAGCATGACCAAACAAAACCCTTTAAAGAAATCAATAATTCTGTATTTTTAATGTTTATAAACACTTTATATACTTTTATGTTGATTATTCATGCTAAAGATTAAAACAATTACCAAGTAGTGTATCATTAATGTTTTGTTTGACTGTATCATACAATTTAGACCATTAGACTCATTATTTTTGTCTAGAATTATGTAAATATTGCACATTTGTTATTCATGTGATTAAAAACAGCATGTTTCTCCATTATTTCTATATCAGCAATGATAGAATATTTTTAAATGCAAATACATTTTTTTTTGCTTTTATAAATGCTTTTTTAGCATCACCGCCCAAAACCATTTAAAGAAATCAATAATTTAGTTTTTTTAATGTTCTAAACATTTTTATACACTTGTATATATTTTATTTATGTTAAAGATTAAAACAATTACCAAATATTGTATCATTATTGTTTAGCTTGACTGTATTACACAATTTAGGCCATTAGACTCATTATTTTTGTGCAAAGATATGTAAATATTGCACATTTGTTATTTATATAATTAAAATAGCAGGTTTCTTCATTATTTCTATATTTACAACGATCGAAACTTTGTAAATGCAAACAAAATATAATTTGTTTGCTTTTATAAATGCTTTTATAGCATGACCAAACACACTGTTAAAAAATTGTAATAATTACAATATCTTTGTTTATAGATATTTTATATACTTTTATATAGTATTAAAAGGTTATTTAAAACAATTACCAAGTATTGTATCATTATTGTTTTGTTCGACTGTATAAATATGCATGTATAAATGTTACAGTTATGAATCATTTATCTCTCAGCCAAACTGGTTTTAACCCATGTTTACTTTACGATTTCCCACATCTAGCTCCTCCCACTTCAAGCCGGAGACGCAATGAAGAGTGGCGAGGCTAAGCAACATCTCTGACCGGAGTTGAAAAAACATACACAGCGCTATTAGCCTGTACCAGTAGATTATTGCATGTCGGGACTATATCCGGGAATCATCTTGGAACGACAAACCAGATATTGACTTTTATTCCTGAAAGCCTCTGCTTCTGCTTCGCGGACGAGACATGTCCTCATCGGCGTCTAGACCTTTATTTGTCATCTGAGAGGAGCCGTAGCTTGACTGGCTAACGTTAGCTGGCTAACTCCCTCTACCCCCTCATACGAGCTAGCTACTTAGCGACAGAGGTGTGAAAATATAAAGAAATCCGGCTTTGGCAGGCTGCGGACAAGAGAACGACACGTATGTGGAAAATAAATACATTACTGTGTTTGTTAGCAATGTGTGGTTCATTTGTAGCTAATCGATGTGTAGATTATGAGATAAAGTTGGCGATGCGCGAGTCTGATTTGACAACTGGTTTGTTGCTGACTCTAACCGGTAAAATCTGACTGTCAGTATATATTATTTATATTTGTAGTCCATACAGTGTCAGATGGCAGACAGACTATCGGTTTTAAGCTAAGAGGACTGTATAGCTAGGAGATAGGTTTACGGAATTGCTGAGTTCAATCTACCTGGGTATTACTTATTAACCGTTTGTTAACTGTTGGAGGTTTTTGCGCATTTGAGTCTTTGTAGAAAATTTATGGATGAGAAACATTTCAGAGAGGGCTCCACCTTTAATCTTGTGTTTTTCGAAAGTGTAAATGTACTACCTTTATTAAATGATCACGTTAAATTAGATTAGTTAACCGAACAGGAAGAAATTTAGAGTATTTTTTAGAAAATGTATTGGAAAGGGTTGCCCCTTCTTGGATTCCGCCATGTTGACATCACATGACTCTTAGTGTCTAATAATATTTATAAATTATAATAATAAATTATAAGATAATTCCTTTTCAAATACTATGATGACTAGTTTCCACAGTTATAAAACCATCGCAATATCAATCTTTATTTTCATTTTTTGAATACAAGTTTATAATATTATTATATTGTAGATGTTTATCATAAAATTAAGGGAGTTATGATAATTGTGTCATTTTTCTCTAATCTGACTCACCATGTGATGTTATGAACTATACGGTCTTTTGTGACATTTGCTGAAGCTTGTCACAATATATGATATAAGCACGAAAATGAAAATTTAAAACATTAAGCAATTTATATTCACATCATGGTATCCATTCAAAAACAAAATTGTAGACCTTAAAAAGTCTTAAATTCACTGAAATATTGTGTTGTAGGTCTTAATGAAATAAACTGCAACACATGAAATGACTATTGACAGATATAATGAAATGAACTGTACATTTTTGTGTATTGCATTGTATAAAAAAGTAAACGAATGTTTCAGACTAATTAAATTGGCAGATAATTTTATCATACAACAGGTAAAACTTTACAATAAGTTATCACTAGGCCCACACGGATTCTGTGCGCAGAAATTTGCAGATTTCCAGCCCATCGAGTATTTATTTAGTTGTGTGTAAATGTGTGTAAATTTAGATTTATTCAGTTTTTAAATTAATTTCAGTAATACTACTGACTATTATGAAAATGTTCATATGATTTCTTTACAATACAGTTTGTAAACTAATAATTTCTGTCTTTTAGTAGATGTATTAAAAGAGAGACTTGCTTTGTTTACCAAATAAATGAATCTAATAGAATTTGAAATGTAAACATAAATAAAAATAAAACATTTTATTATTTTTATTAAAACTTAACAAATTAAGTTTTTTGTTCCGATACACCCAGAATCATTCATCATAAATCTGCAGATTTTTTACAATATTCTGCGTAGAAATAGCAAAAAATTTTGATTCTGTCTGGCCCTTGTTAACGCTTAAGAAATATGTTGCAATTAATGCAAGTTTAAAAAACTTAAAATATAAAGAAATTTATATTTACATGATGGTATCCACAGGGTCTTAAAAAGTTTTAAAATGTCTTAAAGTTCAAAAACAACTTTTTAGGCCTTAAAAAGTCTTAAATTTACTGAAATGTTGTGTTGTAGGTCTTCATTTTCCTACAAATGTCCACGTAATGCTACCTAATCGGGCCAACACCTATCCAATCAAACATTCCATCTAAATAAAAGTTTTAACAAAAGCTTATTCATTCTGTTTACCAAGATGGCTTTTTTATATTTGTTTTTAATGTTTAACTGGGCCATGAGAAAAAATCCTTAGCGTTCAGTCTTATGTAAGTCTAAAAATGGTATTCATAATGGCCTTGAAAAGTCTTAAATTTGACATGATGAACCTGGAGAAACCCTATACACGAACATCACCATTTTAGTTTAATTAGCTATTGTTAACCAATGTAGCTTTATTGTAAAGTATTACAGATCAATATTTCTTCAAAGAATCAGACATTTGTCAGTCACTATTTCACAGATTAACATTAACATATTTGTTTAAAATGAACCAGTCTTCAAGGGATTGGTGCTGTGATAAGCACCACTGCTTTTACATCAATCTTAACATTTTTACTGTTACCATAAAAAAATAAATAATACAGAATTAGACATGGTATCCTGAAGTGCCAACACTAACTATGTCATGCATGTTCATTATCACAATATATTGTAATATTGAATATATTGGCATATGTCTAGTTTTGACAGTCTTCTGTCTTGCAGCTGACAATGAATGGCCTTTCTGTGAGTGAGCTGTGCTGCCTGTTCTGTTGCCCTCCCTGCCCCAGCCGCATTGCTGCCAAGCTTGCCTTTCTGCCCCCCGAGCCCACCTATGCCCTCCTGCCCGATCTGGAGGCCGGTCCAGTACCGGCGGGACCCACGGGGACATCAGGCCTCCGTTCACGGGGAGGAGGGGGTGGTGGAGGGAGTTCGGTAGGGGGAAGCAGTGCTACAGGAGAGGGGCGCTGGAAGCTCCACCTCACAGAGCGGGCAGAATTCCAGTATTCCCAACGGGAACTGGACGCCACGGAAGTGTTCCTGACACGCTCCAGCCGGGGAAACAGAGTGGGCTGCATGTACATCCGCTGCGCCCCCTCTGCCAGGTAGGATGCATATGTTTATTTTGAAGGGTCTTTCAAAATAAATGCATGTTGAACTCAAAGTGTCACGTTTCCCTTGATGGACCCTGCTTTTTCCTCCCGTGGGTCATTTACATTCCTTTACTCTTTTTCCATCTTTCCTTTTGTCCCATTTCCTGCTTCCCTCTCTGAGTTTGTCTGCTATCTTTACCCAGAAGCCACTCCTTCCTGGACGCATTCCTCCTTTATCACGCGCCACTTTATTATTACTGTGCTGCTTTGTTTCCTCTTTAAAGGTGTTTTTTATTGGATGAGTTTTTATATTGTAGGTGTATAGGCACAGTTGGCATTTTCTTTTCTGTATGCAAAGTAAAAGTCATAAAATATAAATATTTAATGGAATAAAAATGTTCACCTAATTTTATTTAAATAAATTATATATATATATATATATATATATATATATATATATATATATATATATATATATATATATATACACATATATATATATACACATATACATATACATTTTGTTATATTAATTAAAAACAAAAACTTTTTCATCTTTATGTAAAATGACTAAAATTAAAAATTAAAAAAAATCTGAAAAATTTGCAACAAATGACTTTTATAAAACGACATTTATAAAAGAAACAAACTTACAAACTCCTGATTTTAGTGCAGGGGTCTCAAACTCAAATTGGCGGGGCCATATCAGTGACTAACAGTTTATAGGAGGGCCGCTTTAACATTCAAGCTCAAGAAAAAAAAGTGGATCCCTGATGTAACTGATGCACTCAAACCTAGAGTATTTGCAGTCAAGCTCTTTCTTTTTGTTTCTTATTGTATATATTGAAGGGGTAGTTTGAATTACTATGAAAGTACTACAATTTAAAAATAGGCATAATAATAATAATAATTAGCATAACAACAGAGATGTGTTTGTACAACAAAATACAGGGGGTATAAAACTGATTATAATCAAATGACCCTTGAATATTTACAAAAAAATCGAGCTTTTGTTAAAAAACTGATTTTTCTAAATAGAGACATATATTTCAACGTTTAAATCAGCCCCGCAAATAATCTGTATGTGCGTTACTCTCGACCACACACTGAGAGAAACCGAAAGTAACACGGATATATAGTACAATACTTTAAATGTCCAATAGGTGGGAGTTCAAAACCACAAGTGTATATGTGACTGCACAACAATGACAGTGATTTAAAAATATATGTTTTGTTGGGCCGAATCTCGTTTTATTTTATTTTGCCCCTAACCTAATGTACTATACATAAGAGTAGTTCTACGTGTTGCTAAATGTATGTCACGTGACCTGCTAACCTGTTGGCTTTGTCTGAGCCTCTTGAACAAAGTAAATTAACAAAATTGAGAAGTGGAATGGTACGATATGAATGGCGGATGGATAAAGTGAACACGCAAAAACGGGCAACAACAGAATACACAGTTAGACAGGTTTTTCTTTAAACGCGACACAATAGCACCGCAATCAAACAGAAACAAGAGGGACAAAAAAAAGGAGCCTAGTGAGTTGTCTGGCACGCACTTTTATGTCGGGAGGTCTTGGCCTGTAGAACATAACGTCAGAGTGACATCACCAGGGAGGAAAAGAGTGACAGATGGATTGACCAATGAACGGAACCTGAGAAAATGAAGCTGATATGAGAGAACAGAGCAAGAGAGAAAAATGGAAATAAAAAAAACAACACAAACACGTAACACTCCCACCCATAAGAACAAACATAATATTGTAAATTTTGAAATAGAAAAAAAAAAACACAAAACAGGACAAAAACAACACAAGCATGTAATAATGTTTTATCGAACTGTCCTGGTTTTAGTACAAGTACAAGTGGTCTATTAATAGGAAATCTGTAATTATTTAAAAAGATTTTACTTGATAATATTTCAGAATTTATATCAAATCTTATTTATTTAGTTTTAAACAGTTTTTCTGCCTGATAGGTTTGCATTTATGCAACTTTTAAAATTGTAATTTCATTTTGCCTTGAAAATAGAATTGGATGCTGACAGTGCAATAAAAATAAACAACTCGAGCTCATCCAAAATGGAACTGAATACCATAATATTATTTACTATTAGTACTAAAATAGCCCTGTTTGAAATACACATTGCAGATGGATGTTTTGGATTCTTTGGTATAACACAGTTCTACACATATCAGTTATAAAACCCTTCCCTGCGGTGTATCAGGCTCACTGCAGATGCGCCTACATGCCCAGTGATTCAGAGGGTGAAATTATAGGTCATTAAGTCTCTCTGTGGATCCATCTCATTGAGTCAGACCCTGAAATAGTGTAATAAATGAGTGTACTAGAGTGTTACTGTGTACTAAAAATCCCATAACAATACCCCTTTCCTCCATCACTCTCCGCAGGTTCACTGTCCTGTTCTCTCATGGTAATGCGGTGGATCTAGGGCAGATGAGCAGCTTCTATATCGGCCTGGGCACTCGCATCAACTGTAACATATTCTCCTATGATTACTCCGGCTACGGGGTCAGTACGGGAAAGCCCTCCGAAAAGAATTTGTATGCAGATATAGACGCAGCGTGGCAGGCTCTACGCTCACGGTGAGTCACAAAATCAATATCAGGGCACAAACCCAAACAACTGCATTCCTGTAGTGGAGTTCAAGATTTGCAGTGCTACATATTGGCTACTGTTTACACCTGTTCCTTTGATCTTTTTTTTCTTTAAAGGAACTTGAAAGTTGCAGTGCTTTCCATAAATATATCAAGCAGCACAATGTTTTACACTGGTAATAATGAGATGATTTGTGAGCACCAATCATTTCTGAAGGACCGTGTAAGACTGAAGGCTTGAGGAATGATGCTTTGTTTGCCAACACCGTAATAAATTACTTTTTAAAACCTAATTACATTGTAAATTTATTTTAACCACATGTCTAAACTGAAACGAACTCAGAAGTGTTATTCTGTTTATTGAGGCTTGTAAGATTTAAATAGTCTTAGTTATTTAGTGGTTTGTCACATGACAGTCTTGAACCTATACATTCACACCAGTCTTTTTGTGTGACATGTTTAGTCAAATTTTTTAAATGTACAATGTGTTTTCAAAAATACAACCAAGCTAATTTTGAAGACATTGTGATGGTATAGTCCAAAAATGGACAACAAAATCAGATTACAAACAATAATAACAAATAAATGAACTAACAAGTTTGTAAATAAATACAAATTTAAAGAGGAAAAGAATAATGAAGAGTAGATAGACAGGAATAAAATTAATAGTTAAAAAAGAAGAAATAAGTAAAGTACTTAAAGTTGGTGAGGGGTGTACTCGGACACGGTTGTCTAGAACAATGCTTAGGTGTCCTTGCTGAAAAATCCAGCTTAAACCAGCCTAGGCTGCTTGGCTGGTTTAAGCTGAATTTTTCTGTAGGGGTGATTGTCCCCCCTTCACTCTTCCCCTCGACCTGCACTCACACTGTTATTTTTAACCCTCCGAGCCTGAGCACGTTTCCGTCATTGATGATCGACTGTTCAGTTAACAGAAGAGAAGCGCTCTCGCTCTGCATTGTTGAGATTGCTTTAGTTAAATTGTTTTGTATTATTTTAAAGCTGCCTTTTTACTGCACACATTTGGACACAATTGTCGGCATATGCCCCCTTGTGGCAGTCGCACAGATATTTCAGTTTTGTTGTGCACCATGGGAGAGAAGCTGGATTCTCTGTGTCTGAAATAAAGGCATGGTTTCCGCTATATTCATTCTTCCATGGTGGAGCGCCACGCCAAAATTGATCCCGCCACTGCTACATTACAGCTTCTCATTCAAAACATTGTTGTATTTTTTTTTTATAGCGGGTGATAATCGCACCAAAACGTATTAAAAGGTAAATCAATTATAACAGCGCAAACTTTTCTGTAACCGTTGTCGTGCTGTGCGCTGTTTGTTTAACTCTTTAAGGCTAGGTGCTGACTGACTGACTGACTTACAGGTGCGTGATGCGTGAGGCCAGCAAACACGACATATAGCCGTTTCACTTTACTTCAGGACGCATTAATGTCTCCTTGTAGGTCTATTAGAGACATTCATAAATGTTCCTAGCAAATCTAAGAAATGTTGGAGACATATTTGTTACATAAACGCACTAAATCGCACTTCAGTAGCGTTTATTTGAGAGCGCACAAGAACATTCGTTTGAGCAGTGTTTATTTGAAGGGATGTGGAAGACGTTTTGTGCACGAGCAGAAGAAATCTTCGCGGAAGCAAAGGGAATCTCATGCTGTAGGCTATTAGATAAATGCGATCTTGAATTGTAATACTGCGCTCTAGACATTTGTCCTCAAATTACTTTACAGGTAGTTGGTAGATCTGAGTAAAAAAGGCAAACACTGAAAGGAGTGCAAAAGCAAGAGCCTTTATTCTCTGTCCATTCACCATGGTTGAATGAATGAATGCTAGGATCTCTCGTAGGTCATATGTGGAGACAACATAAAAAAATATTACTCTATAGGTACTTATTACTTTTTATTACTTCTATTTATGAATAGAAATGTTTTTTTTAATATAAACTTTTTCTGATTCAAAAAATATACTATTTCTCAATTCACGCACACGGATCTGATTAGACAACACTGGAATACATCAAATCCAGTTGGTCGGCCGCATACGGTCTAGTCGCTGGAGCTCAAATATTTTAACAAATCCGCAGCTCAAATCGGATCCGGATTTTCGCATACAGAGATGATCGGAACTTCACGCAACTTCCATTGGACTACTCTCCATTGGAAATAATTGACTTCCGGTCTGTCGCTTGTCATTTGTTGTGTGCAGTGGAAAGGTGGCTTAAGTCACTTGCGAATCGGTGCCACACAGTCAAATCTTTTGCTGAACAGATCCACCAGTTTTGATGCTCATAAATATTCATGAAAGTCATCATGCTGCACGTGTTAAGAGGTTTGCTGAAGCTGCAGCTGTTACGCAGCAGGGGTTTGTATCTTTAAGTTCAACTTCTTTTTTTTTTTTTTGGAAAAAAACTAACACTATATCAGTACAAATAGTTACATCTTTGTTGTTGCTTTTTTTTTACAAAAGAGAAGAAAAATAATAATAAAAAAGGAAAAAAAACTACAAATTAACAATGATAATAAAAGGGGAAAAGAAAAATGGAAATGAGTAATAAGTGTACAGAAAACTACAACCAGCTATCATAATCAAATGTTCAGATACATTGTCAATGTTGAGAGAGAATATTAACAATTGAACAGTATAAAATAGTAATCGTTAAAAACAAATAAATTTAATTACTATGAAATAAATTAATTCAAAGACAGGAGAGTGCATTTTAAATGGAAAGCAAGACCTTAAGAGAGTTAAAGTAAGTTATAAAACATTGGCACTTTTTAAAGAAATTAGTTTTCCCAGAGCATCTAACATTTTCCAACCTTAGAAAATGCATGGTATCTACAAGATATTGGGATGTAGTTAGAGGCTTATTTGATTTCCAGTGAAGTAGAATACCACGCCTGGCTAATCGTGAAGTAAAGGCCAAAATATCAAGTTGTTTAGAATTGAACTTGGACCAAATCTTTGGAACCCCAAAAATGGCAACATCAGGGGACAGGTTTATATTTACCTGCAACACCTTGGACATAATTGTAAAATAATAAATTCAATAATTCTGTAACAGAGGGCATATACAGAACATATACCTTAAATTACACCTGGTGCATGACATCTGTCACATCTGTCATCAATATTGGGAAAAATTTCAGATAGCCTGGTTTTTGAGAAATGGATTCTATGAAATACTTTAAATTGTATTAGGCTAAAGCGAGCACAAATTGTACTAGAACGTATTCTCTGCAGTGCACCAAGTCACCATTCTTCCTCAGGGGGTTTGTATCTTTAATAAACTATGACCGTTTGTGTTCATTAAAAAGTAAGAATGATTACTAAATCCATATTATGAAACAGTCCCTTAATAGTGACGTTGTGTCTTCAGCATGCATTGCACTCACACTACAAGCGTATTGTGCTGAAGCCCAATCAAACCACTCTCCACACCTCTTCCAAAGAGCCAGGGCAGGCCAACTGAACCGTGCTTGGGCCCAATTCGGAGCACTCACATTTGTCAAACGAACCTGGAAGTGGGGGACAAACGTGCCTAGGCATGGTTTGGATAGCCTAGTGTGAGTAAACCCTTAATATTCGTAGCAAAAAATCCAAAGAAAATCGGCACACTGCCACTTTAGCTCTCAAAAAGTCTTTAATGTCACATTTGTGACTAAAGACTTTTTGAGAGCTAAAGTGGCAGTGTGCTGATTTTCTTTGGATTTTTTGCTACAAGTGTTTGTTTTTTGATCGAGCACCTGCCTTCAAGATTTTTCAGATGTGCGCACATTTCTTTTTTTTTTTTTTTTTTGCTAAACCTTTAATATTCACAAAGAAAATACAGCTACAACCTCTGGAAATCACACATAAAAATAATACATATTTCCCTAACCAAAAAAAAACCCACTAGTCTTTTTAATGGTAGGTGATGTAACCTTAAATAACTAGGCAACTTTGTTTCTTAGCCTAAATAAGCCTTAGAAGTGCCAAAAAATTAGTAAGAATCCTTTAAGTGGAATCAGAATCAATCAACTAAATGAACAGAGAGCTCAATTTGCTTTAATTCAGGAATGCAAGTTTTCAAAGGCTGACGTAAATCCACACTGCACTGTTTGTGAATAGATTGGCACTATATATATATTTTTGCCAGCAGTCTCCATACTGCTGTAAATAGACTGTAAATCACATTGACACATGACAGTTATTTGTTGAGTATATGACATTCCGTTAGCTTTCGCTTCCTCTCTTTTCAAACAGATATGGCATCAGCCCAGAGAACATCATCCTGTATGGACAGAGCATTGGCACGGTGCCAACGGTGGACCTGGCATCGCGATATGAGTGTGCGGCTGTGATTCTTCACTCTCCTCTCACCTCTGGCATGAGGGTGGCCTTTCCCGACACTAAGAAGACTTACTGCTTTGACGCATTTCCCAAGTGAGTACCAAAAACAGTTCAAAGTTGTCCTCATTATTGCAGTTTTCTTATGAGCTGACGATTTGGCCAGTACAGATTGCTGCTATTTATGAGCAATTCACTGGCTTTCGGGTTTTGGCAAGAGGAAAGGGAGCGGGTTGTGATGGTGGAGATTATACTGAGCTGCTTGTTTTGACACAAAAAACGAGTCCGAAACGATCGCGCGATGAATAAAGTAGCTGTAGACTATTTTCCAGCTTAGACTTTCAGCCCTTGATTAAAGGGAATAAGGCTTTTCTTTTTTTAAGTTTCATTACAATCATTTTCATTGTTGCATATGAGCTGTGACAGCAGGGTTGTGGAGCTCAGAGGGAGGTTTGCTGCACTCGGTGGGCGGTGTCACTCTGTGCCAGTGTAGAAGAACACATGGTTGCCATACAGCTGCAGTCACAACCACTACTGTTCACGCACAAGTGTTGTGTAGTTGGCTGACAGCTGTCTGGTTTTCTGGCTCCCAAACACATACAAATGTGTACGCCACATGTGCAACATTTGAAAATACAAGCTGCCAAACTGTTTTCATTCATAATAACAACATTGTTATAATAATAATAATAATAATAATAATTATTATTATTATTATTATTATTATTATAAGTATTCTAAATATTATCTAAAGTAATAATTTGCATTATAGATGCATATTTGCATGTTAATTACTGTTTAAAAATATGTTAATTATTATTTTTGGTTTCATGCTGATGCAGGCCATGTTTATTTGATTAATTGTATTTTTATCTTAATAATATTTGAAATACTTTTACTGTTTTAAACAAATTTAAATAATTAAGTTAAACCAGGTGGCCAAGCTTTTTTTGCAGAGTTTTTAAACTTCCTTTAAACTAGACTTTAGTATCACGTTGCTTCAGATTTCATCGTCATAAGTTCATCGTCATAAGTTAAAAAAAAGCGGTGCTGCCTAATTTTTGTGTAAAAAATTTATTTAATTTGAAATTTTTTTGGAAAAGAAAATTAAATGTAATAACAAATGTCTTCACTGTCACTTTAAAATATTCAAAGTCAACTTGATTAGGTATGCAACGATTAAAGATTTTGGTTGTACAATTATAGTCTGAGGAATAATCAATTGTTCACGGTTACCGGGATTATTATGCATTTATTAAATTAAAAAAACTACTAGTTTTGAAAATCACATTAATTTTAAAGTGTTATTTATTGCTGCTCAATAACTAAACAATACAGCACATAATAATAATAATAATAATAATAGTAATAAACAAGCAATAATCCTTTTCTCTTAGGACTTAAAAATAATTGGAAAAAAAAAGTTTTTGGCATTTAAATATAAATAATAATTTGACACTGAAAATAAATGACAGAACAATAAATAAATGCATCAAAATAAGAATAAATAAATAATATTAGTCTAATGTAAATCTAAGCAACATATTAGTTAATTATTTCCCTTGAGAACTAAGGCTCCTGAACCTCCGTCTGAAAGGCACTTTTAATAAACTTTATAAAAAATGTTTGGTATTTTCATTTTTGTATTCTTTTCTCTTTGGAATTGAAATGTGTATGTTCTATACAAAGCATGAAGCTGATCGGTCTGTTCTTGTCACGTGACTTGTGGTGTGCTATTGCCATTCTTTCAACTGAGTGTGCCTGGTAAGCGTGAGTGCATTGTGCCGTGTGCACGTAACTCCCAATATGCAAGCTAGACAAGAATTATCGAACCTGTGCACACAAAAAACGTGATCTGTAAACTGCCCTTAGTTAATAGCATCAGCCATAGTTAATTCAGTATGTGTGTATTTGCTCCAGTGTACAAGCTTGAAACTTTAAAGTCCCCAAGAAATCAGAACTAACCTTAAGTATTTTGTTTGCTCACATTTCGAAATCGATCGAAATTTATGCTCAATTTCGATTATCGAATCAAAAAATAGAATTGTCGATGCTGCCACGCCCCCATGTCACGTCAGCTTGGCTTGCCAAGCTGGAAAAAAACAGGCTTGTTGAAGTGCTTTTTAAACTGCAGAAGCAGGAGACCCGTTGACAGAACTTAAACCCTCTCCTCTTTCAATGAAGTCGCCGGTGTGTAAGCATTTTGGACTTCCAGTGAGTTATGTTGACAACGTTCGTGTTGTCGACAAAAAAAACACAGTTTTGCAAGCTCTGCTATGTACGTATTACGTACGGTTCGTCCGATAGACAACACCGGCATCGCGATCCTCCGCCCACCCCCGTTGCAAATCCGCTCGCGAAAAGTACACACTCAGGCCCTGTTTACACTGTCTTTGTTTTTAAATGGCATTTTAGAACGACAACGATTTGACATCCACAGTGGCGTGTAGCATTTCTGAGCAGCCCTCCTTCCTCTCTACCTCTGAAAATGTACATCATGTGACCACACAGACACAGACACAGACGCATACACAGCCATGCGCTCGAGACAGCAGGTCCAGGCAATCAGAGCACTGCTTCAATCTTTCACTCACTTGTACTTAGTCATTTTAGCGAACACCTCAGATACTGTTGGCTGGTTCCTGTTGGTTGTGCGTCTTTTTTACCGATGCCATTATAACGACACAGATCACTGCCTATTCACGAGTCCCGCAGAAAAAGTGATTGACAGGTGGTAATTATGTGTGTAACTTGCCTTTATTCATTTACTGTATGATTTGTTTATGGGTAAAACAAAGACCATGCAGGTCAGGTAGTTTAAACGGTAGGCTACAAATAATTAATTGGTCCTTAATTAATTAATTATTCATAATCAAAAATCGAATCGAATCGTGCCTTTAGAATCAAAAATGTAATCGAATCGAAGATTTGGAGGATCGTGACACCCTTACTCACATTGCCAGTTTTGTGGTGAACAATGCATGTGAGCATGTCATTAGGAAAAAAAAAATCCTTCTAATCTGTAATTTAAATCTAAAAATGCACTTCCTGTTTGTTTTCAGTTAAATTAGATTACCTGATTTTGAGGTAATAGGCGTCGGGGCTAACATACTTAATCACGCACCTCCAACTGTCACTTTTGTCAACCAACAGAAACGGTGAAGAGGAGTCTGATAGGTTGTAATAACTCTCCCCAAACCCTTTTCCTGATCTTTCTGAATGAAATGCCCGCCCACTGTTTGCTTTTTTAGAATTTAGTTTCTTTAAGAACAGTCACTATACGAAAAATATAACGATAACAGCTTCCGGTTCATTAGGACTTTAAAGAAACGTACAGGTGGCATAACTTTGTTTAGTTGCAGCCGTTTTATTCCATGCAGAAACCCGGTGTTGAGAAGCCTTTACGATTTTTTAACAGTGACGAATTAAATTGCAATTAGTAGCAAAATCAGTTAATCGTTGCATCCCTAAATTGATTAACATCCCCACGAAATGCACCTAATAAAACATAAAAGCACATTACTTGAAATCTACAGCCTGTCACACTGCTTTAAAAAAAAAAAAAACGAGTAGTAGGTAAACCTATTTATGTACTTTTACTGATATGTCAAGTGCATAATGAGATATTCAGTTGTAATAAGTAAGTTAATTCTAACACTGCCCTTGTGTTCTATTGTGTCTCCGCTTCAGCATTGAGAAAGTGTCTAAAATCACGTCTCCGGTGTTGATCATTCATGGAACGGAGGACGAGGTGATCGATTTCTCCCATGGGCTGGCCCTGTACGAACGCTGCCCTAAAGCCGTGGAGCCGCTCTGGGTGGAGGGAGCCGGACACAACGATATCGAACTGTACACCCAATACCTGGAACGCCTCCGTCGATTCATCGGCCAGGAGTTGGCCGTACAACATGCCTAAAACTCTCCTCCATCTCCTTCTCATCATCCCACCATCTCCCAGTCTGAGCGAGCGTGCGCATCACTAACTTATTAAAGGCTGCCATTTTGTATGGACAAACATCACTGTCGGAGAGCAGCGTGACAGAATTTGTTTCTTAAGTGTTTTCTTTTTCCATTTGTCACATCTGTGTGTGTGGAACTCTGGGGGATGGAAGTGGAGTTTCTGTGAGGAAAGAATGGACGAATTCTGGTTTCAGTCCAATGAAATAAGCCAGACACAAAGTCCTGTACCTCTCTTTCTCCGTCTGAGCATTCATCTGTCAGTTTGCCGCGCTCCCATGATGCCTCAGCCTTCCCACTTCTCATCAGGCAACCTAAAATAGCTCAATCTCAGCGGCTGGCAAATTTCCTAGCCTCGCTGACCCTGCGGGATGGAATAAGCCGGTTGTTCGGTGGATGATTTTCAGGAGTGAGTTTTTGAAGCATCCTCCACAGATGCCAACCTCTGTTGTGCCCAGGTGTGTGTGTGTGGGTCTATTCTGTCTCATAAACCCTGCGGGATGTTGATCTCTATGCACCGACGTTCCCTTCCAATGAGTTTTCGCCTTTATGTAAAGGATGAGATGATGATCTGCACCGCTCCAGGCAGGGAAAGCTCAGATTTGAGGACGTTGGCTTTTGTTTCTCTCCTATTTTTTTTCTCTTTTCGGTGTCTTTATCCTTTCTTCTTAGCATGTCAGAGTGTCCATAGCACCCTGAGGTGATAGAAACCAGCTCATCATCATCATCATCATCATATTTCAGTTAAATATTCTCGGGATGACTTGATACAGAGTATATTCAAAGCCAGATCCATACATCTTGTTGGGCCAGTAGAAAGATCAAGGTTTCTGTATCAATTCAGGACTTTCCTACAGCCACATTCTCGGTGTAGCATTTCCACTTTCATTCTAAAGCGTTTTAATCAGGGCTTTTAAGTCAATATGTGGTTTAATTATGTAAGAAGCAGTAAGACACACAACAGCACAGGTAGCAGTCGGAGATTAAAGCAAAAATCACTTTTGAGCCCTGTGGTAACTCGCAACCCGTTTTTCCTGTTTTAAGTGTGACATCACGTCTGTTTGCATCATGGCATTCGAATCTGAGATCAAGCACTAATTGCACATGTTTACTCTCTTTAATTTTTTGTTTAAACGCATAGCACATCATTTAAAGTGTCGTCTTCATGATTGTTATGCTTTCCCAATTCAAGTCAAATTGCTAGTTAGTGGCACATAGTTTAAATCATCTAAGCAATGTACTGACAGCTGAGTAGGTTTAAAGATTATAACTAGCAATAAAGGCACAACAATGAGGTCATCTTCAAAGGGAGTTTGTCTGAAGTGATTTGGACGCAACTATTATTCTTAAAAAGATTGGATCGTACGATTTTAAAACACTAGTGGTGAATTCAGAGCGGCGTCTTTCTTTCGGAGTAAGCTTTTACAACTGTGAATTATCAAGGAAACTTGCTGCTACAGATCTTGATTGAATGGTCTTCAACAAATTGACAAGAGCCAAACCATGTGACCTTCTGTTGTTTTGTGACGCATCAAAGACTAGCGAGGCTTGTCAGTGAGATAAGACGTGACTTTTCCGTGCTGTGTGCTTCATTCTTGCCCTTTTAACACTGTGGGCTGCACAGCTATTCTAGATTTTACATCATTTGCGTTTATTTGATTCACTGAAAATTCGGTATCTTGTCAGGGTAGGTTTTCGCTTGATAAATATTATGATTTTGTGGTGCCAGATATGATATAATCTCTGGATATCCTGTTTGTCTTCTCTTTTTTGGGGGGATTTAACCTCCAACTATTCATACATCCATCCACTCAGTCTATTCATATGGGTTCTGCATAAAAGGATAGTTCAACCAAAAAGGAAAACGTGTGCTTATTTATTCAGTTAATTAAAAGAGATTAAAAGAGGATCTGTGCTACCGGCATTCAAATCATTATTGAGAAAACTAAATTTGTGTAAGAAAAATAACTAAATTATTTAATTAATACAATCTTGATGGAGTTTTGAGGTTTTGTGAAGCAAAGTAAGCAAGAAAAAGAACATTATTAACATTTAAATAGATTTCCAATGTTTGATAGACAGTTAGGATAAAAAATAGGCGACTTGAAGATATCCAGTTTCTCTAATTGTTGATTTTAGTTATGTGTTTGAGTTAAACCATATTGTGCTTTATTCTGTAAGCTGCGGATGACATTTTTTTTCAAAATTTAAATAAAAAATGCTGTCAAGCATAAAATAATAACAGGCCATTTTTTCCAGACACTTTTAATAGACAACATAATTTAAATGTTTAAACATTTTACATTCTTCAGGTGATACAAAACCCAGACGTTTCCACACACTAAGGAAGGCCGAAATGTGTTTTGTATCACCTGACGAATGTAAAATAAAAATTACACAAAGTAATTTTTTTATTATTCTTTTTTTTTATTGATTTTTGAACAAATCCTGAGATCTAACTCCAACCCCCCCCCCCCCCCCCCACCCAAAAAAAAAGTTAAATAAAATAAAAACAGTAATACTGCAATAATAGATACAAAATCAGGATAGAAACATCTGATACAGTCTCTCTCATATTTAACCAAAATTATACTTTTTTTTTTTTTTTTTTTTACTGGCACCATTTTTTTTCAAAGTAATTATTTTAATTATTGTAAATCATTACTTTCTGAATAATATTGACAAGATTAACGCACTAAAACGTATATAAAAAAAAACTGACAGCACGCATTGGAAACTTCATTACTCAACAAGAGTTTTGAAATCAGTATTTAGTGCAATAACCGTGATCACTACAAATGAAAACATTTGTTATTCTGGCCAATTGTCATTTTCAGATTTGTTTTTCTTTCCAAATTCTAATCTTTTTGTTTCAAATTTTGTAGAATTTCTTTTGAATAGACCTTTGAAGACCTTTTTATAGAACAAAAAAATTCATTTACTGAAAACCAAACTAAAAAAATCCAGAGAATCTGAGGATTATCAAGTTCTATTAATAAAGTGGTCAATCATTTATTTTCATAGATGTGTGACATCGATAAGGATCAATATAAAACTTTGGAATGTTCCATTTCTTGCATAGTCAAAGAGCCGGTGGTCAATAAAGGGATAGTTCACCCCAAAATTTAATTCTGCCATAATTTACTCACTCTTCACTTTTTTAACACGTAATTTGAGTTTCTTTCTTTGTTGAAAACAAAAGAAGATATGTTGAAAAATGCTAGTTAATAGGTCCCTTTGATTTCCACAGTAACTGCTTTTCTAACACTGAAGTCGATGAGTTCCAGAAACCAGCATTCTTCGAAATATCTCCTTTGGTATTCAACATGAATACTCATAATGGTTAAAACCACATGGGGAAAAACAAAACCATCAGGTCTATTTTTTATTTTTATGAACGACAGGATTTAAAGACCACAATTTCAACAACAAAAAATCTTGAATGTTCTTTTGAATAACAATCTTCCATCTCATATGATCTTGAGGATTAATAATCTAACACTCATCCCTTCAAAATCGCTCCCATTATTGCACCGTAATTCTGTATTCCATTTTGACATGACATCCAAAAAACCAATTCCCTGCCAACCTGATTCCATGTTCCATCATATAGTAATCTGTGGTTGGACACAAAGAGGCTTGTTCATTCTCCATCCTAACCAAAGATGACAGGTGTCGGAGTTGCCAGTTGTCAGAGCTCAGATGTGGATTGAAGCGATGGACTTGTGCTTTTCAGAGCCGCCACTCACACAATACAGCCTGCTGTTGATGCCGCAGAAGGGAAGTTTTGTGTGGACTGTTGTCGTGTGTTTTCTTCCTGTAAGACGCAAGTGTTTGGAGGCCTGAAGCAATACTGACTTGGAGCCAGCAGACTGGATCTGGGGACATATATATATACGGGAGGGGACGAGGACGTTGGTTTTTGGGACTGGACTTGTCCCAATACCTTCAGATCCAACAAGAGATTTTTGTTTTTTTGTTTAAGGAACGTAAGTTATAGAAATGTCTTTTTAAAACTATCAGATGTACGTACTGTATACCATTGTTTGAGGAGCTTAATCTTAAGGTTTAAGAATCGTTTTTTTTTTTTATCTTAATGGATCGGGAGCAAGAGTTGAAGGGTGATACTGTTCTATCCTTTTATGCATTATTCTGATGTTGTTGATTTAAGTTTGTAATATGTCTTTTTTCCTTTTCCAGAATTAAAAAAAAAAGAGAGAGAAATCTTAGAAAATAAAATTATGAATTGGTAGTTGTTGTAATACTCTTTTTCTGTGTGTGTGTGTGTGTGTGTGTGTGTGTGTGTGTGTGTGTGTGTGTGTGTGTGTGTGCGTGCGTGCGTGCCTGAGCTCATTTACACTACCTGACAAAAGTCTTGTCGTTTATCCAACTTTTAGGAACAAATTATAACTTGACTTCTAGTTGATCGTTTGGTTTCAGAAGTGGCTTATATGAAAGGTAAAGGCCTCTAGATTATGCTTATTTTACCAAAATAAAATATGATCATGCCTTGATTTTTAGTTATTTAATTAGGACAGTAAGCTCTGACTTTGCTTAGACAAAAGTCTTGCCACTTGACAGAAATAATGTACAGTATAGAATAAAAAGTCATGATGCAGAAGAAAAAGCGGTCCAAGAGTTCATCAAGATTCTTTGGATTCATCTTCAATGCCTCCAGCCCACCTCAGACATGCTCAGTAATGTTCTTGTGACTGGACTGGCCAATCCTGAAGCACCTTGACTTTCTTTGCTCCTCCTAAACTTTGATGTGGAAGCTAAAGTATGAGAAGGAGCGCTATCCGGCTGAAGAATTTGACCTCTCTTGGGGTTTGTATTGTAATGGGCAACACGAATGTCTTGATACTTCAGGCTGTTGATGTTGCCACCCACTCTGCAGATCTCTTGCATGTAACAACAAACCATGATTTTTCCTTCACCAAACATAACTAATTTCTTTGAGATTCTTGTGTCCATGTAGGTTCCAATAGGTCTTCTGCAGTATTTGTGATGATTGGGATGCAGTTCAACGGAAAAATCTACCTTCGGCATCTTTTCTAAATAATCAACTAGAAGTCAAGCTATAATTGTTGCACTTAAAACTGGGATCGACGACAAGACTCTCGTCAGGTAGTGTAGATGCCTTATTTATTTTTTTGTTATTTGATATTGGTTTAAACAGATTTACATTTACACATGACGTTCTGCACATTGCAATATTTTTGTATTTGATGTTTGTCCCAGTGCATTTATTTTTAGATTTTAATATTTGTTATATTTAATTTTGAATTATGTAATTTTATCTTTCTACATCTATTTTCTTGTAATAACATGAACATCTGCATTTGTATATGGATGTTTAAATTTAGTTCACACATTTCTACACATTTTTTTATTAAATTAATAAAAATGAAAAAATTAAAATAAAATTAAAATTAAATTAAATTTTTAAATCACATTTAAATTACATTTTAAATTAAATTTAAAAATTAAATTAAAAAAAAAATTATTTTAAAGAATTCATCTACGTTTAAACATTAGTTTTGTTATTTTAGGAATTGATCATCTTAAAAACCAAACAATATATTTAATTTTAAACTGACATTGAGTACGCCTTCTGATAAATACAATAAGTCCATATTCTAGTAACATGCTGGAAAACCATTATTGTATTAAACAAATACATTAATACTATTCTGGTATTTCTTATCAGGATTTATATACATACACGCACACAAACACACACACACTGCGCACACACACCTGACAAAAGTCTTGTTGGCTATCCAAGTTTTAGGATCAACAAATAATAACTTGCCTACTAGTTAATCATTTGGGATCAGAAATGGCTTACATGAACGGCAAAGGCCTCTAGATTACGCTTTTTTTAAACCAAAATAAAACATGATCATGCCTTGATTATTAATTATTTATTTAGGACAGTATGGTCTGACTTTGCTAAGACAAAAGTCTTGTCACTTAACAGAAATAATGTACAGTAAAGAATATAAAGTCATGCTGCAGTGGAAAAATAATTAATATTGTGTACGACTCCCATGAGCTTGGAGGACTGCAGCTATACATCTCTGCAATGACTCAAAAACTTATTAATAAAGTCTGGAATGGCAACGAAAGCGTTATTGCTAGACTCCCAGAGTTCATCAAGCTTTTTAGGATTCATCTTCAATGCCTCCTTCATCCTACCCCAAACATGCTCAATAATGTTAATGTATGGTAACTGGGCTGGCCAATTCTTCCTATCAGAATTGTAATGTATATATAGATATATTATCTGATATATATATAATGTTACTGTGTGTTTGTAATGAAACCATATTTACATACTTATATATTTACATTTATTTCATATTAACATTCATTTTACCCATTTATATATAAATCAATTTAATAAATATTGTCTATTTGTACGTACATTTAGTCTTAAACTTGACATTAAAAAATATAAATAAAAAAAAGCTGTAAATCCATTAGTTTGCAACACCTCATTAACAGATCAATTTGAAATGTTTTATATTCAATCAGAACTTGGATGAATGAGTTAGAGCTGACTGTAAATCTCGTCTCTTGTAACTGCACTCGGGAACATCACATTTTTTACGGCGATATATTTTACAGGCTGAGCTGGGCTGAGCTTCCCAGAATCCTTGGGCTATAAACATCCTCCAGAATCGTAAAGCAATCGCAGCATCTGACCTGCATATTAAATGCTGAACCTCGGCTCCTGTGGCACAGACATCAAGTCCCAACAATCATTGATGAGGCATTTATAATTCAAGGCACAGAGAGAAACGCTGCGATGATCAGCGAGCGGGACGGAAAACGCTCTGTTGCCGATGGCGGTGTTTTGTCCATTCATCATGTAGCTGCGTTTCTCTTCTTATCTATCTAGTCTACTTCAGTTCATCAGTTAATAGCAAACCGCTCTCAAGGCTCTTGCTTTGAATCTTCCTATCAAACAAACTCGTACGAGAGTGTATTCGTGTGGGTGTGCAGGAAGAGAAGAGCCGAGGAGGATTTCTGGAGCAACAGATGGGTTCTGTTATTATCTGTAACAAAAAAAAAAAACCTTCAATTATCTGCCTCGTTTTAATTGCTGCCCTGCAAGCTTTGGCATGACCCAGCCTATCAGCAACAGTCAAGAGGCATTAATACTGCCAGATGGGATTTAAGGCCTTCTGCTAAACACACACTCACTGTATGTGAACATGTATGCACACAAAGCCTTGTTTCTAGACTCTATTCACACTTTCATTCTTGTCACATCTGCTCATTTGCTTATATTCAAGTAGGCATAAGCCGGTATAGGTTAAACAGTGTTGGGGGTAACGCATAAGTAACACAATATTACTTTCATAAGTAACGAGTATACATAACTTGAATAAATTAAGTAATAATGTTTGAGTTACTTTTTTTTTAATGCAATGTGAGTTGCTTTTTAGATTAATTAATTCACTTTTACAAAATAATTTGCTGAATTAAAATTTGTGTAATCATACTGTATAACACTCAAAGAGAGAATGAGCTCCCTGCAGGAACAGACAGAAACTAGATGGCAGCTCATTACATTTCTGTGATGGAAGTCTCATTATTGTGAACACGTAGCAGAAAAGGGGATAATAGTCTAAATGGACAGTGATTTTACTTTCTAATTCTAAGTAATAAGACAAAATTACAAAAGTAGCAAACACATTGCTTGCATTAATCTATGGCATGTACAGCATCAGGAAGTTCTCAAAAGGTTTATTTTTTTTTTAATTTTTTTTTTTTATAAGGTAAATGAAGGTCTAGGTTATTCAGTGTGTTGTTTAATGGAGAGCTCCTCTATTACAAAAAAATATCCTGCAAATTCTGAAAGAAATCAAGCCATATGTGGGTATGAAAAAGTAACTCAAAAGTAAGTAACTCAAAAAGGAACTCAACTCAAAAAGGAAGTAACTCAATATTGTAGTAGTAGACAAATCTTTTTATTGAACTTTTAACAGAGCAACTCAAACATATACAAGAACAAGGTACATAAAAAAGGAAACAAATACAAGGTGAAATAATATGAATTAAAAAGAAAAAAGGTAAAAGGTACAAAAAAAAAAAAAAATAATAATAATAATAATAATAATAATAATAATAATAATAATAAATAAATAAATAAAATCAAATAAATAAATAAATAAAAATGGGTTTTTTTGGGGGGGGGGGGAGCACATTTCAAGTATTTGGGATAAATCTGTTCTCAAAATATGACAGGAAGGGTCTCCAAACTTTGAAGAATCTATTATTTGAGCCCTGGGTGCTATATTTGAGTTTTTCGAGCTTTAGATACGCCATGACATTTTCTACCCATTTAGTATGTGTTGGTGGTTTAGTTGACTTCCACTGCAAAAGAATAAGTCTTCGGGCCAGCAAAGTAGAGAACGCTAGTGCATTTAATTGACCTGCTGGTAGTGTAAGATTTTCAGGTGTCGCACCAAATATTGCCATTACTGGATCTGGTTGTATCTCCTTTTCACATATATAAGAGAAAGTCTCAAACACCGCAGTCCAAAATGGTCTTAGGGATGGACATGTCCAGAACATATGACCTAAGGTGGCCTCGTCTCTGTGGCACCTAGAGCATGTTGGGTCAATTTCTGGAAATATTCTGGACAATTTGCTTTTAGAAAAGTGCAGCCTATGAATTATCTTAAATTGTAATAAACCGTGTTTGACACAAATAGATGTTGAGTGAATTTGCTTAATTGTTGATTGCCAGACTGACTCTGGAACTATATTTCCTAAGTCATCTTGCCACTGTTTCTTTAGAAAATCTAGAGATGGTGCAGCTGCTCTTTGAATCAGACTGTATATTTTTGATATCAGACCACCCTCAGATGCATTTAGATCAAAGATCTCCTCAATCCAGCTACTTATGGGAGGGGCTGAAAGTGTATTAAAATACCTTTTTACTAGACTTCTTACCTGAAGATATCTGAAGAAATGTGATTTAGGAATATCCAATTCTTTAGTCATATGTTCGAATGACATAAAATGACTTCCTTGAAAAAAGTCCCTTGCATATCTGAGTCCCTTCCTAAACCAGATCTGAAAAGCATGATCAATTAAGGATGGTGGAAATAATGCATTGGAAGTAATGGGTAATAAAGAAAGTGCTTGTTTCTGCTTAAAATGCATCCTAAACTGAGCCCATATCTTTATTAAACCACTGACTATAGGATTGTTTGGCAGATATTTTCTATTAAG